GTGTTAATTTAACACTCAACAGTGTTGTATTTAACACTCAGAGGTGTGGACCCATATAGACACTCTCTAGTGTTAATTTAACACTGGAGATTTTGCTGTGTTTAGATCGGGGCATGATGGGTTGCTTTTTTTGACCTTTTACACTTTACACACTGGTGTCACTATGTTTAAGTTAAACAGTCATTCATTATGGTTATAAAAATTTCATCAAAGGTAAAATAGACAGTCACGGAGAGATTTTAACTTATCAAATGACTGCAAATAACTACCTTACCCGAAAAGGCTAAGGCATATCCGGAAACTGAACACAAAATAACCAAATTAAACAAAGAAAAGGCAAAAGAAAATTAATGGGGAAAAAATCCGGGACTCTCCACCAATTGCTCTTAGAACTGAAGAAGCTTCTCGGATGAGAGGTGAAACGTCTTCAAGAAAACCTTTCCAGTTAGTATGTCAAAACACATTTCATCTTTTTTCAGGGACTTTAGAGTTTATGTACATTACAGTAGGAGTATATTAACAGTTATATAATTTGTCTTCTATAATGACATTAAAAAAATAAAACTCCCATTACCATTCAGTTTTTGCTTCCAGACTTTTCACATTGGATGCAGTTCATTGGTTAAAAATATGCTGTGCAAATTATTTTCATACCATGCATTTGTCCTTGTAATTTTTTTTCTTTCTTTTTTTTGAGTGTGGCATGAACTGGAGGGGGTGTGTCGTGCTGGAAACTTACTCCAAAATAAAGATCATGTGGAGGCTCGGGTTTTTTTCCAGCCGAGAAACACTGCCCTCTAACGGAGCACGTCAGTATGGCAAAAATAACAGCACCTTCGGATGAAACCATTCAAGTGACAAGGTATCGATGCGGCCACGGGTTACTCCAAATCTGATGAAAATACCACTAAGTCATCAGCGTGGTAGAATAAAATATTAGTGTTAGGAAATAAAAAAGAAATACCTGCGATGGATGCTTTGATAAGGTTTGTGGGGATTGTTTCCGTCCCCGTGTAATTCGGTGGAGTGGTACGTTCCAGTAGTATTGAAGGCAAAGCTGAAAACGGTTTGTTTTTGCCGAGAGGAAGAAACGTCGCTGCTATTCGCAGCTGCTACCTCGTCGCTTTAATAAACGGTTGTGACATTTCGTTTACGTCTGGTTGGTTTTTCGACAGCAGCTTTTGCCGTTTTTAGCTCGCCATGGCTCTGTGCGGGGGTGTCGGAGCCATGGCTTTGCCCAGCGAGCTTATTGTCCACATATTCTCCTTTCTGTCCGACCGAGACAAGCTCCGGGCCTCGGCTGTGTGCTCTCGCTGGAGGGAGTGTTTGTTCTACCCCGCGCTGTGGACCGAGCTCAAACTGCGAATAGGTGGTGGTGGATGCTCCAGCTCTGACGAAACCCCGAAGCTTGAGTTCCTTATGCGAAAGTTTGGCTCTTTTGTGCGAGACTTGCAGCTAGAACTCGCACCGGTGGAAGGAAACCTTAGCCATCAGAACAGCGACCCGCCGTCCGCCAGAGTGGACCAGCCTCCGGGTCCCGATAGCGACCCGCAGCACAAGGAGCGATGGAGGGATGCCGTGGCCACCTACTTGGACCAGGTGTTATGTGTGTTCACCAGCATCCGAAACAATAGGTAATACTAGAAAATAACCTCTAAAAATGTCTGCTTTGATATTTTTAATTGGAGTGAAAAATTCGCTTGACATGTTCGCCCTGTTTTGTTTTGGTTTTTTTAAATTTCTCGGGTTTAGATGCGTCGCAGTGAGCTAGCAACTGGCTAGCTCAGTTAGCTATAAACAAACCCTGGCATTAGGAGTTACGTAATCATGCCAGGTCTTTGCAGTGGCAGCAAGCGTTATGCATATGGTTTATTAAGGGCACCTTTGCATGCATAAATTAAATGGTGGTGCATGTGCGAGGCATCTGCATGCCTTTTGTCACCTGTCCTATTTTACACTTCTCATTATGGTCTCTCCATAGCAGCAGGTACAATGCAGCACTGGTGGAGGCTAGAAGGCTTTGTTGGCTGTGACTTGCTGATATCAGCACTGACACACACACACACACACACACACACACAAATATACAGTGTGTGGATGTATTTAGCCTGTTGTCCGTTTGTAGGACGTGATCACTTATATTCTCTCACACACACACACAGGATAATTTCTCCTACTCTGTCAAAATTTGACACTGTTAACGCTTCTAATTTCATTGGTGCAGCTGTGTCACACCTTTTTCCACCTTCTCCCGTCTTCTTTACAGTGTTTTGTGATGCTGGCATTCAAAACTGGTTGCTTTGTCTTAATTCTACTAAAGGGGTTGAAATATTTGACATTACTTTGTTGTTTGTTTTAAAGTTGTTTCAGTTTAAGGATAACTTAAACCCTTTCCCACTTCCCTGCTGGTGTACAGCTTTACTAGCTAGATCCAGAAAGTTGCATTTGGTGCCAATGCTGTCTTTTAACTGATAACATTTCAGTTCAGTAACAGGCTGTTGTTTTTATAAGCTTCAGCGGCAAAGGAAGGATGTTCTCCCACTTCCTACACAACACTTTCACTGACTATCGGTGTGTATCAGGCAACATATAGACACCAATAATGATCTATCTGTGGTAATCCACTTCCAGACACCTGATTTATTCAAACACACTTTTAAAATGTGACAAATTTGGGTTCATCCAGATGTAGAATTGTGAAAGTGGGCTTGGTGGGGAAAGCAGAACTGAAAGAAATGGATGAACTTGTTCCACTGATCTCATCATGGTGATGAAGCATTATGAGAATCTAAGAACCATGGTCTGTTTTGTGCATGGTAGTTTTGAAAAGATCAGGACTACAACCTCTAACTTCAGAGTTCGCTATCGGGTAATGAAAAGCCTGTTTTTTGTTTGTTTGTTTTGTTTTTGTTTTTTGTTGTTGTTTTCGGGGGGGGCACTGAGCCAGCTCCACCAGCACTGACATATGTTCCAAATAATGAGAACAGGCAAGTTGTTGTTTCTTTCTAAGGGCACTAAGTAGCTGCACATGAGCCCATAAACTTGAACTCTCAGCTGATACACAGGAAGTGGGTACATCAAATGTAACATGCGCTTCACCTTGCAGGTACGCCTGTGCCATGTGCGGCTGTATGAAACCCTTGTGGTTGCACTGGTGCATGTGCGACACTTATGCAGGGGATATGTTCCTATCAGTATTGAGTTGGCTAATTCAGACATTTAAAAATGTAATGGCTGTTGGTATCTTGTGTCGTTGTACTGTTGGACTATTTAAAGGTCGTCATTATCATTCATAGGGATGCTGACTTTAAGCACAATCATTATGAAAACAGTAAAAATAATTGTTAACTAATTTCTTAAGATATTCATATACATGTTATTGTCATTTGCAGTTATTTGATTGTAACTTATGTCTGACCAAATTAAACTGAAGTGATAAAATGGCTTAAAATGTTAAAATGTAAATTTTCCAATACGTTTATAACATGAATAAATCTATTGCCTCTTAATCCTCTTGGTTCATTTAGCCAAAACAACACTGATGTGAAAGAAAATGTCATCCTATTTGCAGATAAACCTGCCCTTCCCTCTTATGTTTGTAACCGGTCCTATAAAGAAATTCGTCCTTTCTGCTTTTCGCCACGTTTATGTTGGTGATCTTCCAAACATTACTATCAAAAGAGGTGTAGATCGTCTGTTTAAAACAAGGTAATTGGCTGCATTGTGACCACTACGCTTACATTGACTGCATCAGTGTTCGAAAGAATCAACTTTGGCGTATACACTGCTGCTTGATCTTTGCCAATCTATTTTGGGTGCCAGCATATAAAGGGCTTTCAACAGCACTGCGGGAAAGTGCAGGGCAGCCATAATTCTGTGCGGGATAGAAAGCAGCTCAGGAGAAGTGAAGACTAAATTACACTGAACAAAATGGCTGCAGTTTGTTTAACAGGTGAAACCTTTTTTTAAGTTGTTTGGATCGGATGACTCATCTGACTTGCTGCTGTTGATACAGGTGTTCTAGTAATAACTGCAATTTTTTTTCTCTATCTGTACGTGTCTTTGTCTATTCAGAAATCTGCAGAAGCTGAGTCTGTATGGAGACACATTCATTCTCCAGCAAGAGGGACTACTAGACAGCTCTCACCTGCATCTAATCCACCAGGGGGACAAAAAGATCAATGAGTAAGTCACAACATCGAAGCATGAAAACAGGTTTCACTGAAATGACTGACAAATGTGATAATTAAAGCTGCATGTGGGTGTGAATGAGTAATATTTCCAAAACTGCATCTTCTTGTTGTTATGGAAAGTCTGCGGTGTTTGGTGTCTCTAAAGGGCAATTAATTTACAAAATTAAGAAAAGACAGTTTTTCATCACAGGACAGTCTTTGTCCACGTCAAACACTCAAAGTGTGTGTCTGGTTTCCGCCTAGAAAACTGAGTGTTATTACAAAGCATTGACTCTCTGAAAAAGGAGCGTTTGTTTTTGTGTGTTGTTGGTGTTTAAAAGACTGAGGGCTTTAAATAGTGGTCATTTACATAACCCAGTATCCAACGTCTATGTATATCGACCCTGATGGAAAATTTTGATTCCCATCAAATCTGAATGCATGTACGCACTGAGCAGACAGCAAATGAATTAAACCAATACGGAAGTGCCAAAAATGCTGGCCACTTGAGGCTGGCTCCAAAAGCAAATCAGTCCCAATAGACTCCATTTTTTTAAATGGCCAACTTTACAGCTTTAAGAAACATATTTACAGCTTGAAAGAAAAGCTCCTGGCTTTAGAGAGAGAGTGAGAGTGTGTGTGTGTGTGTGTGTGTTAAAGTAAAAAGACAGAAAATGTTATGACTTGAATACAGTTTTATGTTCTGTCAATTTGTGTTTATTAATTGCAGCAGCCTAAATCAGTCATTGCATTTGAGTTCGGCCCTCCTGCTGCTATTTCTTATTTATTTCCCGTCATTCTCTGAGTGTTTTTGTATTTGGGACACACATTATGGTGGATGATGGATAGCCATGCTCTGATAGGTACATGTAGATCCACTCCCTGTCTCAATGATGAGAAGTGGACTATGAAGAAGGTCACACAACCTCGTTTTTTTTTTTAATACAGTGTTTGTGTCCAGTATGCCTCCCAGACAGCTCTCACTTTTTGGGGCATGTACATGGGATTTCTTAGGGTATTTAGAGGATGAGGACAGTGCCTTGTTTTTGTTTCTTGAGGTCCAGAGCGTATTGTCCAGCTGCAGTTTTTACTGATGTACAGTAACATCCACATGAATGCAAGGATCCCAGATTCCTCAGCAGAACTGTAACAGTATGATCAATAGCATTCACTTAACTGGCGAAGAGTTTCATAGTTGGCCGGTTTGTGTCAGGTGTTTTTAATGTCAGTTTAACTTACAGAGTACATGGACTACTGGCTTTTCAGAATAACATGCACATCACTGCCTGCCTTGATAGCTTTTTGTCTCATTCACAGCAGTTGTGGATTTGTTTTGTAGCTGAGCAGTAGTTCAGTAAGTGATGTTTAAATAAAAATGAGATTTCAGTGTAGCTTCTGCGCTCTGTGGTTTGTGTTGTAGACACAATTGGCCATAAAACACTGTGTGAAATGCACCAAGTTGCTGAGCATAGCTCCACCAGTCTGATTGTAGTGTGTGTGTGTGTGTGTGTGTGTGTATGTGTCGAAATTGTTTGGACATCATTACAATAGATCCATTTTAGGCTTACATTTAAACACATAAAGTCGGGACATTTTGAAAGTGTATATACCCTGATGATCTTTTCTTTCTTTACTCCACTGTCAGGAATGATTTTGGGGATTGTTTTGTTTTGGGGTTTTTTTAAACCAGATTTGACGGCAGCTGTAGTCATTCTGGTTTTTTAAATGGTCTTTCTTTGTCTCTCGATAGAATCCAACAGTTGTTTATGGAGGTCCTCTCCAACAGCAGGCAGCTGAGGTGGCTGTCTTGTAGCTTCATGCTGGGCCTGGTGACTTCCTGTTCTTTATCCTGCCTGTCCAATCCTTCAGCTGAGACCCTACAGCACCTAAGTTTACTGGACCATCAGCTAGGTATGTCTGTTACATCATATAGTTTGTAAACATTATGTGACAGTAATGCTGAATAACTGAAAGTTTTCCTCCGAATTTCCCTCAGGGCCCCTCGTCTCCCCATCTGAGTTGGATCGCCTCTCTAACCTTCATTCTCTGGCTCTCGATTTTACTGACTTTACATCTGAGCTTTGTGGTTTGCTGGCATCTCCACGGCGAACTCCACTTCATCGCCTCTCCCTGCTGCTCAACGGGGCCACCCTGGAGTTTAAATCATTAGAAGGGACCGCTACAGAGGATAACTGGAAGGCACTGGTACTGCTGTGATTCTGTATTTGTGGCTTTTATTTCATGCTGAATTGAGGCTCTGTGTATTTAGTAAATTGTAGCATATCAGTAAGTTTACCTGGTCTTCCCCAGGTTCGTGTAAGCGCCAACCTGCGAGTGTACGTCATGGCCCTGGAGGTCGACAGCTCTGAGCTCCTCAGGGTCCTAAAGCCGAGCCTTCCCCTCGAGCGACTTCACCTCGACAGTTACAGCATGCCGGTGACCGACGCCACACTGGAGCTCATCTCCCAGCAGTACAACAAAACGCTGACTCACTTCCTGCTCCTGAGGGATGGCCCTGACTTCCCTGACCTCAGCATCAATCGTAACGAAGACCCTTTGGTCCTCTTGACATGGAGATGTACTCAGCTGGCTGTACTCGTGATACATGGTGAGTTCAGTTTTGTTTCTTTGATAGAATGTGAGCTGTAGTTGGTCAGATCTGTGTGGCTAGTGGTAATAATTCCATACAAAACAGGCCTGTAGTGACTGTTTTCTAAACAGTGCAGCAAGCTGTGGACTTACTGTTGTGACTGTGGACACACCAGTCCAATATTTTTAGATTGCATCCCTGGAAAAAGCTGAATAATTGTATTTTTTTTTTAAAATATATTTAAAAGCCAGTCTACAGACTATTATTTAATTCAGTGGTATGCTTACTACACTGCGAATCGGCAGTAGTGCACTGGCTGCTAGCAGGAGAGCTAATGTAGCTTGAAGGAAGCCAGCAGTAAAGTAACTGCAGAGTTCATTGGCAGTCTTGCCTTCCTGTAGGCCGTATTAAAAAGAAGTTGTTATGGTTTGTTTCGAGTATAAATCTGCAAAACATGTTCATTATTAGCTTTGAAATCTGAATGATTAATGCCTGAATCCATTTAGGTTACACTGTGTGGTCCCATAACTTGGTGGCCATCTCCCGACTGCGAGGCTCCAGTCTCCGTGTCCTGACCGTCTCCGAGGAGAGCATCGACTTTGATCCAGACCAGTCGGTGTGCGTAGAGGGCGACCCAGTCCACAACCTGGTGAAGGAGGTTTCTCTGGGCCTCGGCCGTGTCTGGCAGCCTTGCCTGGATTCCAGCGTGTTTTTGTCCGAACCCACCCAGCACTTCCATCATGAGCTGCGCGCCTTCAGCATGGGCATGTAGACGGGGGATGGCAAACCCAAGACATCACAGCCTAAACTGTGTCAAGACCAGACCAGACCAGACCAAGACCCAACGAAAACTCTAAAGTGGAGCTTAAGAATAGTCTATAAATTATGTGAACTGACGTGAGCTGATTGTTTTTATTTTTTAAATTTTTTTTCCATAATTAAGTCTGACCATTTTTCAACGTCGTCTTGCTTTGCTGCTCTTATTATCCAGTTGGCCAGTCGCTTGAAAAATGGATTCAGCTTCTGATGTTTTAAATATATGTATATTGCAGATAGGAGTATTCACTTAAAACTGGATTGCTAATTACAATCTGAAAAGCATTCGGTTTGAATATCACACAGAGATCTGACAGCTGGCAGGACTTCACAGGTTTTAGTTTGTGGGTCAGCGTGCGGCTTCCAGCGCCCGCTCAGCTCAGTCTGGTCTGGTCTTGCCCACAAGTATTCAGAGCTCTCTCCTTCACCTTAATAACCTCTGGAGCATCTGTGTAATGTACCTTTTGATTTGTTTTGTTTTCCTTTGTTTTTTTAATTTGACTGTTTCCATCCCTCCTTGCTCTTTGTATAACCCAGTTGAGGTTTCTTTTTCCTTCTTCCCGCGTGGTGGTTCCCTTGCCTGTATTGGCTTTGTGTGTATTTAAATACAGATATATTATTATCCTGCTCACTGCTAGAACAGGACAGGCAGGCGGGTTGAGTGATGAACTGTAGGGATTTAAGAAGGGTTGTGTGTTCAGGCACAAGCTATTAACTTTAGTTCTTTTGTTTCTCTTTTTCTTTTTCTTTTTTTTCTTTTTTTAATCTTTTTTAACAAACCATTGCTCTGTGTCCATCTGTCTGGAGTCTGTAAACTTACTGATTAGTAACTTCCTGGGTAACACAACCATAGCTGCTTCTTCTGTTGCTCTGAAAGAGCATCTCGTGCACTTGTCCACTAGTTCGAGAGCCTTGCCAGCCGGGTGGGAAACGCCACTGTAAAATGGCTGTGGCTGCTGCTAGTGAGTTTTAATGTAACAGCCGTGTCATCACCATGACTGATAATTATTGAGGGAGGGGCGACTCAAAGCCAAAATAGTTTAGGGGTTTTGAGATCCTTACCGATGGTGTTGAGGAGAATATTGTTACATGCTTGTTGCCAACACACTTTGCACCCTGCTCACTTGTTGACTTTCTAGGGAAACCTCAGCGTTAGCTAAATGGGGAAGCCCCGTATTCTGACTCGCTTTCAGGGCCAAACTACAAAATTCAGCTCATCACAAAACGACAACTAGAAACTCTTTTTCTACTTTCAGGATGAATATCTCTGCCTTTCTGATTTCAGAGCCTTCCAGTTGTTTGTAAGAACGCAGAAGGGATGCATGACACAAAGTCAAAAATCATGACGCTGGAGGGCTCTGAGGTCAAAAACATCTTCAAGTAGTCCTTCATATTTTATATTTTTTTTTTTAAAGAAAACGGGGTTTTGTTCCTTAATGCCATATGTATATTTGTGATTTAAGTAATCTCTTTTGTAACAGCTTCCAAACTCTTGGTGAGGCCATGTTAGAACAGCAGCAGTATTCTGCAGGAGCAGCTATCACACAGGTCATGGCAGCAGTACTGTTGGTAGGAAGAGCTCTTCTTTCTTTTTGAGGGGGAACAAATCATGATTGAGAGCAAGGAGGGAGGAATGGGTGCATTGAATGTAACTTAATTCATTTCTGACGCTGTTGGCCAGCCATTGAAGGCTTACTCTTGCTGAATAGCTGAGTTTTAACATTGTAGGTTTCACTGACAGCCAAGACTGCTTTTTTTTCCCCCCTTCTTCCTCTTCCTCCTCCAATGCAGCAGCACAGTAAGGTTTCGGGTCATGTGACGAAAGCTGCTTCTGTCAGTCTCAGGTAGGCTTTTAATGTCTCTAAGACCAGCAGTGGTGGCAATGTTGTGTAGCTTGTGTGAAACAATCAGTTAATGTGAGTTGAAGTTTTGTTTTTATTTTATTTTCTTTGGATTATTTTCTCTTGAGTCACAGTTGCCTTTTGAAACAGCCCCTTGTTTTCTGGCTACAGTTGTTGTTGTTATTGATGTTGTTGTTTATCTTGCCATCCGATAGACCCTCAGTCGGAGGGGTCAGCAAACCTAATCATACATTTGTTTTCAAAGATTATGGTTGATAAAGACTAAAGAATGGCACAACCATGCTGCTTGCTGCACGTGTCTTATATCTTCAGTAGATGTGAGGGACTGAGAGGCTGTGGGGTGGTTCAAATGAATCTATGCTGTCAATGGGAGACCTGCTGGGCCCAATTAATGTTTGAACTGATGGTCGGTCATCTGAGGTGAAATGCTTTGGCACTGTGGGTCTGGCTGAGCTTGTCCTCATTCATTCACAATTGCATGACTTTGATTAAGTCAGTGTCTTTACTTGTCTGCTTTCAAGTGAATGCGATCACTTTAATACATGAAATGAATGTTAACAGCTAAAGCGAGGCATCATAGACCAAATGACTCCAGATAGACCCGAACACCATCAGTTGATTACTGGGCTCAGTATAGCAGTGTGATCCTACAGTGCTGTGACTGCTCAGTGGCTATGAGGTCCTATTGGAGTTTTCTGAGCTGAGTTGAGGTTTTAACAGGAAAAATGGAAGTTGGGTTAGACTTAAATGTACCCAACTTTCGTGAGTAAACGAGCCACTGTCAGAAAAGCTGCCCACCCAAATGGCTTCAGCTCAGGCATGGATTTGCAAAGATCGAGGACAATGGCACTGCACACTGTAAAGGTCCATATCAGGGTCTATAGTTTACAGTGTTGACCTTAGTGATTTTATTCTCTTCCCCATGGACTGATATGGAACCAGTGTGCCAGCACTTTGTTAGTTTCAGAATGAATTAATCGCAGCGACTGGCCCCGGATACCAAATGTTTGCTTGTCTGTTTAAGGGGACCTTGGTGGTTTAGCCATGATAATCTCTATAGTCCTTGGTTCATATCTCAGGATAAATGCACTTTGGTACCAAGAGTTTCTTTTAAAGGCTGTTTGTGGCTGTAAATAGCTCTGTACACTCAGAGGGGAAACGTACCAACATCACACATTCAGACCAAAACGTGTTGGTTTTTTAATGTCATCTTCTTCCACGCTCCTCCTCCTCCTTTCTTCTTTTTAAAAGCCCTTTTATCTGAGAGATGTTAGAGCTGTTAGAGCTTCGTATTGTTCGTAGATGTCAGACAGGTAAGAGGTGTAAAAATGACGGCAGTGTTTAGTAGAATGTAATGTCACAGTAAATGGTCACCTCAAATAAGCAAGTAGATTTTTTTTTTTTAAGAAGCTGTTCCACTCTCGTTTCATCAGCACTTTCCTGTCTTCACAAGTCTCTAGATTTTATTGGCTTCATGCTAGAACTTAGATTTGGCTGTTTATCTGCCAAAATTAAAGGAAGGAATGGTGTTTTTACCAGAGATTAAGCTCAGATAATCAGAATTACAGTTCAGATTTGTTAGCTTGCTGAAATACTTGCGCCACAAAACTAGAAATGGAAAAAACTCTATTTTAGTGAAGGCACGTTTAGAGAAATCCTGGTTTATCCTTCCAAGGAGACAAGAGGTCAAACAGAAGTGCAACCAGTCCAGCATTGTGGCCAATAGCTAAATATTGAGCCATCTTGTGCCTGAAAGCCTCTGAAGTCTCACTGCTTTTCAAACCTTGCCTGTCAGAAAAATATTGGCTTTGTTAGGTGTTGTTATTATTAGTTCAGTTTTTAAGGGTTAAAAGCTGCAGTGATGAAGGTTTTAGCAGCCATCGTGTTTTGATTCCTCTCGGATCCTGCCTACATTTTTCTGCTCAGCTTTTCACTTGTATGCAGTAGAAATATATAAATAAGATGTTTTTGGCTGTGCAGTCCCATGCGATGTATGCATGCCTGTGTGTATTTGTATTTGTAGGGGAGAGAGCGAGGCTTGCTCATGTTCACCAGTGTAGTCTTATCACTTCTTCTGCAGCGGGAAACAGGAACAGAAATCATTCGTTCTCAGGGTTCAATCGGTTTTTGGAAAAGGAGGAGGACGATGGAAACCTCAGGCCTGAAGCTGAAAGAATATTAGGAGTCACTGGATCTGTTCTCCACCCTTGATGTGTTCTTAGCTGCCAAAGACCACAGAGGAACAAACTTAACCCAGACACAAGTCTATCTGAAGTGCCCACAAAGACACACACTGACTGGAGGCTGGTCCAGTATTGTTTTCTCCTTTAAAGCTCCTACTTTTCTGATATTTCTCCACTCCTTTTTTTTCCTATGTTTATTCCACTGACTATTAATAGTCTGTTTGGTGTCAAACTCTGTCCTTCTTACACTTTGGACCATACTGGACGTGATAAAATGTCAACAGTCTCGCCATGTGGTTGGAGTGAATCCAGACCTGAGAGCAAAAGGCTTCCCGTCTGGTCATTGACTGTGCCCTGTGTTTAGAAACACAAGAATATGGGTTTTAAGGCATTATTGGATCAGCATTGCTGCACATCTTGTACAGTGTTACCTCTAAACGGCACTCAGGGTCTACAGTGCATGTTGCTTAAAGTCCGGTCCAGTGCAGGACACTCCTACAGAGGCTTAAGCAGAGTGATCTGGAGTTTTCCTCCTCCTTTCTCTTCCCTGTCCATCGTCTGTTTCACTGTGAGGAACAAATGAATGTAAAACTAAGAAGGTTCAATCTCAGTAAAGTCAGGGACTAAACACTCTCGCAGATGCTTCCAGGAGGAGTTGCACCCTGAAAGATGGCAGAGTGAGGACAAAGGCCCATGTGTCTCATGTGATGTGGTGTTTGGCCAGTAAGCCTGTACCCAAGGTCCAGTTTGAGGGGAAGTGTTTAGTCCTGAGCTATAAAGTGATTTGCTGCTAGAGATCTTCTAGGAACGGGACATTCCACACAGGCGTCGCTCAGGCCGTCTGACATGCAAACAGTTTACTGCTGCAAGGTCTGCAAGAAGATTATCTACAGAAACTATATATTTTTTACTTTGAATGGTCTATGTGTGAAGAGATCAGAGATGCATCTAGAACTGACGAGTCACACCAGATTAGCAGCTTTAGTAAATTGAGTTTCTAATGTGTGTTTCTGAGATGCCATGCTTCAGCATTCTGAGGCCATATTGTGTCCGGTACACAAAGTCACAAAGGACAGGGGGGGGTGACAAAAGCAACTTGACTATCACAGTGCTAAAAAAAGAGGGCTGTGGAATCAGGTGGTTTCACATGTTGAGTCAGTCTGGCAGGTGAAAAACAGGACTGCATGTTAAGGACACAGATGCATGTTCACTTTGGATGCACGGGAGCCTGTGCTGGGCTGACTTTTATAACATATGCAGACAGAGTTTGTTTGACTGACACAAAGCTAGCAGAGCCTTATTTTTAATGAGTCCTGCCATTAAAAATGACAGGTTTGAAGGCTCTGGAGGGATGATGGGATGTCAGTTATTCAGGAGACCATTACCAGCACTTACTGCACATTCAAGTGGCCGCAGCCCTTTTGACCATTTTATACTTTAACTATTTTTTAAATTATTATTTCGCTTCTTTTTATTTAATTTTTTTCTTGTGCTGTTATGTGCATTCAGAGAAATCCTTGAAGATAACTGGGCTCACATGGCCCCTAAATGAACCCACAGAGCTGGCCTCTAATGCACTCCATCTGAGAAAGTTGGCCTTGGTGGCATGCTTGCAGAACTGTCCAATCAAGGCTGTTATACAGAGGGATGGGTATGAAACCTCTGTGATAGCCACTGCTAATTCCCTTGACATGGACAGGGTCATGAGTGTGTGTGTTATTTTAGTACCAAAGCAGCAGACTGTGTCAAATCTGCATCGCCTAAACGCGGGCTCAGAGCCACAGGCAGACACTCATCACAAGTTTCATTTCCACTTTGATCGTTGCTTAGACTCGATGCCGACTCGAGGGTTTGTGATGTTGACTCTCAGAATGTTCTGGAAAATGAAACTTAACTTAAATAGCTTAAGAAATAAGAGGTAGTAAGATGGTTCTGGGCCTGAAGCCTTCCCTAAAAGACATTCAGGGCTGGTTCAGTGTTTCTGGTGGATTAACATGAAGAGACAGGGTTTCCTCATAGCAAGGTTGTATTTCTTTTTAGGTTTGTTTTCTCATTTAAATGCTTTGACCACAGACTACTACCAGTACATGCAGGACTGAATGAGCTCACAGAGGGCTGGCTGCATGCAGGAATGTGACAAATCTGATTAGCTTCCTGATGTGTTTCAGTAACTTGGAGACAAACACTGGATGTGCATTGCACTGGTATAAAATCAGTCCTGTAACAGAGATAAGTACATGTGTTTGAGGCTAGATGTACTAGCACTGACAGGAAGTTTGGACACTCCGGCTTTTAGTTTTCCAGCCAGCTGATGATGATGATGATGATGATGTCAGCCTGGGTGCGATAGTAATGGTGTTATCATTTACTTGCTTCTCTGTAGATGTAGAGGCGAAACGACAAAATGGCACTGATGGCATTAACCTGGCCAAATTCTGTCAGTATCGTTGATGCATGGCGAGATTCACGCAGCGCCTGACTGTATCAGGGACCTGATAGATATTCATGCTCAGTGTCGGCCAACTATCTCCATTTAGATCTCAGCTACTGTGGCTGTGATGTTTCTGGCTGGTAAACAAAGTCGTTCTTGTCAAGTCTGGAGAGCCAAACCTCCTAATTAGCCAGGCAGGCAGGCCTGCTGCCCAGTCCAGCAATACAACTATGCAAGAGGAATGCATATAATCCACACTCATCCTCTTTTTCTTTTTTCTTTTCCTCCTATTTTTATATTTGGTTTTTCTCACTGTCATACAATAGAAACGAAGATGTAAACTAATAAGAACTTGCAATGACAATACTTGGCCTTATGATGATTTCTGAAATCTTATCATTTAGTTTTAAGATCTTTTTGATTCTGGTCAGCCAGCCCAGCGACAGCAGCGGTGACGGCGGGCTCACTCTTGGTCTCTGTGAGACTGGCTAGATGGCCCCAGTTTTATCGTGGTACGAATGTTGTGCATTTGTTTAAAATCAGGACAGTTTGCAATAACAGCAGTCTTACTAGTGGCCACAAAGGGGGCACAAGCATTGCTGACCGCGCCCGGCTGCATCTTTAGAAAAACCATAGAGGAAGAAATATAAACTATATAGATATCTAAACTCACACAGTGCATATTTGTATAGGTATCAACAATGCATTACCGTGGTATACTCTTATGCAACACATGTCCGGGTTCAATTTATGAACATGAAGTATACTCTGAAATCACGCAGACTTTGTAAATCAGAAGCTCTGTTGTTGTGTTTTATGCAGAAATGGTTTTACCATCGTTAATGTTGAATATTCTGAGCGTAACGTTCCTGTGCGACTGTGTCGGTTAACGTGAGCACATAGCACCGGGTTATTACCTCCTTTCTGTAAGCAGGGAACCAGACTGAACCCAGAACACAGCTGGATAGACTTCACGTACCACAGAGCATATTTCAGGAAAAAAAAAACTTCCAAATCTGTTCTGCACAGAGCTTTAAAAGTGAGTCAATTCTGTAACTCACCTGAGCTATATCAAACAGACCAAGGTGTGATTAAAAGGATGGCTTGTGGATTTTTAAGACCAAGCAAAACAGAGTTTTACCCTAAATGTCCACAAGAAAAGGCACAAAAGTGATATTTGAAATTGTCCCAGCTGTTTTTTTTTTTGGCTTAGTCTGCAGGGTAAGAGTCCTCTGGAAGTAAGAGGACAGATTTTATCATTGAACAGTGTTGATCCATGGCTCTGTGGTGAAGAAAAGGGAGGACGCGTTATAAACCTCCACGTAAAACCTCTGAAATGACAGATGGCATACAATTGAGGGGTCAACCTGCCGAATGTTGATTTGAATTATTGTGGAATGAATGCTTCTCTTCTTTTAGTCAGTGAATAAAAATAATAAAAAGTCACTTGCTTCGTTTGTCCTTTTTTTTTTTTTTTTTTTTTTTTTTTTTTTTTTGGATCTTTAGCCCCCCCCCCCCCTAAATCCATTAAAAAACTGGCATTGGAAAGAAGTCGCCTGTCGTTCTGCAATCTCCAATCAAACCAAACCAGACCATAGTTATTCTGATTTGAAGTACCACAAAGAAACAAACAATAGCTGCACATTGTGCATGAATGTCAAGTAGACCCTAAACTAACTTAATCACAATTAGTCTGCAGGGACATTATATGACCCACTGGTTTCCTGTGTGTCTTTAAGTAGTCTATTGTCTCTTAATCCAGTGGTCCCCAGCCTTTTTCACACCTCCACACCCGTTGGTCTAAAAAACAATAACTGCTCCTAATGACCTTTGGGATTTTTTTTGTTTTGTTTTGTTTTGTTTTTTTAAATGGGTTCAACTCAGTTATTAACCATTTCCACACCTACAATGACATGATCATCAGAAAAGATTCCTGAGATGATGGAAGAAGGCGACATGGTCTTGCCTTTTCTTTTCAGGTCACCCATTTCATGCAATATTCAAAAAAAACAACCCTTCAGCTGAGTTATCTATCTGATGCAGCTGAGTCGGGCGGATAAGTGAGAAAGTGCTACTGAAGAATTTGATGAAATAATCAAATGTAAAGATAAAATGTTAAACTGCCTCCCCCTCCCCAACCAGAAAATCCCTCATCTTTACTTGTTAAGTCCGTGCCCACTGAACACCGATATTACATAATGCTATCTTGCCATTTCTTTGTTTACTCAGAGGAAGTCCCTGCAGCACACTTCCTTTGAGTAAACAGCATAAAGCACTTGCAGCTGGATCTGTGGAAGCCCAGAGATGTAAAACATAATAAGGATAAGAAAAATGTCTCTCCTTTTTAGCTCTTCTACAAAATCCTGCTCCCAAAAATATTTCGCATGTTAAAATATTCCCCTGTGATGATTTCAGTATCCTTCTGCTCCTGTTCTCCTGCTTCCACCTTACTGATCTCACATCAGCCTGTCACCACGGACTTGCTTTTTATCTGCTCAAAAATGTCTTCCAACAATAATTTTAATCATAGTTTCAAGACGCCAATGTCAGAAATGAAACGGACAAGAAAATGCCCCTCATGTCAGTATACACTCACCTACCACTTCATTAGGTACACCTCTTTAAACACTAGTGTCATACCTGAATGTAATTCAACCCATTTAGGTACGTAGACATGGTCAAAACAACGTGCTAAACTTCAAACCAAGATTCAGAATGTAGAAGAAAGGTGATATACATGATTTTACAACCCACGCATGCACAAGAGCCTCTCTGAAGGCACAGCACATTCAACCGTGAAGCATATGAACTACAGCAGGAGAAGACCGCACGGCCCTACTGTAAGCTAAGAAAGTGGAGCTATAATTCAGTTTTTGTAATATGTTGGACTAAATGTTTTACGAGTTGCCTTTCCCAACTGTAATGTACAATTATGCATCACAAATAGCTAAAAAGCAGTCTGCTAACAGTAAAGTTAATTAAAAAGCTTTTTAATTAATGGACAGGAATAACTGTTTTGCACTAATGCTGTAGGACTCAGACAAAGAGCTCCTTCTCATCTGGATAATGAGACTAGGAGATTATCATTGTGCTGTTTCACAATTAAGCTGAAACAACAACACATTTTTTCCCCAACCAACAGTCAGAGTGGGTTTTAGAAGGCTGGGTTCTCTGCTGTGTAATTAAATGCATGATGACACCAGTGTTATTGGACTGGTAGCAGAATGATATGAAAGAATCATCAGCAGAATTGTAGCGCACACTGTTAAAAGCCAGGAAATCAGCTGTGGTTTGATGTTTGGTTTCCACTTTGATATGCAAGAGCTGCAACAGCGGGACTCAGAAGGGTTTTATTTTCAATCCGGGGCTCGCAGCTCAGAGCCGGCTTCCTCGGTTACTGATAGAGATCAAAAGGGGCAGGCAGGCACCCTGAATCTGGCTGTCAGGAGAAGAAAGAGTGTCTGTACTCAGGAGGAGTGAAATAAAAAAACACATTCTTCATTCCTGTCCTTAATCCAGTCTCGAGAGTATCGTCTGTATCTTTTAAACCTCTGATGAAGCTTTAGTAAAAACATACAAATCAGATGTTTTAAGTCTAAATTTATTCTGCTGATGCTAACTTGAGAAGTAAATCCTCTTGCTCCATGCAGGTTTTGATAAATTTTTTTCTGGTTTAATTCCTTTGTAACTTTTGAGGATTCCCAGATATTTTGTGGCTTCTTACAACATTTCACATATAGCACTTTTCAGCTCCTGGAAAGGGTCTTAATTTATTGTCTTCTACAGAAGTAAGAGGCTATAACACTGAACCATTCTTATGAAATTAGATATTACGCTTTTCATTTAGTTGACTTTCAGAGAAGATATAGGTGCACTGTTGGCTGAAATAGCACACATTGTGATATGTGATCAGCAGGGCTGGACTGGGACAAAAATCAGCCCGGGCATTTTGACTAGTGACCGGCCCACCATGGTATTATAGGAAAAGCCATAAAGCCTTTATAATAAACTTAAACCTACACCACCCTCCCTATTCTGGTATTCTAAACGGTCTGTAGCAAAAATATAAATCAACCTAATTTATAATTACATATACCTAACTAATAGGGTTGTCCCAGCAACAAAAGAAAAGAAATAAAATAGGGAACCACTCCCCCACCCTCTGTTTCAAGATGCTTAATTGACAAAACTGATTTTAATTTAATGCACGTATCAAACAAATGCACAGAGATCTATTATTTTTCTCCTGTAATCAAATAGATTCAACATCTTTCTTCAACAGAATTGCAGACTGCACAGATGGTACCTTCCCAAAGGAAAGAATACTATAACTTACTAGGGTATTTACTAGACTTAATATTTACTGAATACAGTAATATATTTCTATGCATTTTACATCAGATGAAAACTTGGTTGTAAGATTCTGATAAATATTTATTAAAAGCTAGACATTTTAAATGAGAATAAGAAAGAAAAGTATGGATCCTAGTGTTATTTGTCTCTCAGAAACAGTTAATTTCTTCCCTTCAACTCATTCATGTCACCTAAAAGGTAAACCTGTTTCTCCATCACCTGTTCAGCTCTGATGATTCAGTAAGGACATCTCCTGGTTTCATC